GATTGTAATGGTGGTAACATGGGTGTATAGATTTGTCAAAACTCATTGAACTGTACAATTAAAATGGGTGCATTTTGTGGTATACAAATTATACCTCAATAAAGGTGATTTGTAAAACAGGCTTTATAATAAAGCAGCCCAGCAAGAGAATTCTTATTTCTTATATTGAATATCAGGAAAAGACAACTAAGGAATCTGCCTATTTCCATGGAGAACATAGTATAGTTAAGTATAATCTTTATTTAGGCCTCCCCTTCTACTTGATTAATCATATTATCAAAACTGTTTAGTTCAATGAATGATTTGTTTTCGCTGTGCTTTTCTCTGTGTTGACTTAATTCTCAAGTAGACTGCTCATTTAAGAAGCAAAGATGACCATTTACCATTCTAGGCTTGCATTCCACAAACTCAGCACCCAGAGTGCCTCTTTTGCCAATAGTTCTAGAAAGTTCTGGGACTGTTTTCATCAGTTCATCTTTGGTCTTATGCCCATCCCTGAACCAACCACTGTGGTAGCCAGAATATGTTGATAATCCAGGTCCTGGGTGGCTCAGCAGCACATGAACCACTTGGGTAAGACTCTCCAGAAGAACCCCAGGCTGTGGTTGGATCTCTTCATGCTCTTCTTCCTTCCTCCTTGCTATTGTGTGAATCAATCGGATATCTCTTACTGATGATTTCCCAGGACGTGGTCCTTTTTAATTTATATAGATATGGATGAATGAGACAAGTTCGTGATTACACCAAGCCCCTGGATACAGCTGTGCCCAAAGTCAGCTGCTCCTGGACTAAAAATTCCCCTCCCCTTTTAGGTCAGTCTGGATGGGGTCTTCAGTTAGTTACAACCATAAAATCCCCTCTCTCTTAAGCCAGTTTGAAAGGGTGGTTAACTGATCTATAGTTAACTGATACAGAAATTGATAATTTGCAAGGGGTAGAAACTCACTCAAGGTAGTAGAGCTAAAAAAGCATATATTTTATTAGCTATGAAGGGGAAATAGTAATTTCATGGAGGAGAAAACCTGACAGATGCTACCTTAACCAAATGATCAAAGTTAACAACACCAGTCATGAGATGCAATGGCATCATGGGTCTCCTGATATGAGACTAGGGATTCAACAGTATGTCAATGATAAAATGCAGTTGAAACTGAACTAGAAAGTTCATTACTACCAGAAACTGGAGACAACTCAAGTGTCCATCAAAGAAGAATAGATAACTAAGTTGTGTGGTCATCCAACGGATATTATGGCAATGAGGATAAATGAACTAACTACTGATACAACAATGTGGACAATCTCACAAACATAATATTGAATCAAAGAAGTAAGACCCAAAAGAGAACATACTGATTTCATTTGCTTAAAGTTAAAAAACCAATTAAGAGTAAAATTAATTTGTGGCATTAGAAGTAAAGTCATTTTTGGGGAAGAGAGAGATCATGATTGGAATGGGGCATAAGGGGGGTTTCTAGAAGGATGATAAAGTTCCTTGACCTGGGTGATACTTACAAGTATTGTCACTTTCTGCAAACTTTTCATGCTGAACACTTGTGATATGAGCACATTTCTTTCTACATTATGTGTATATCATTAAATTTTTTACGTTAGATCTCATAGGTGGCATTATGATTGGAATTGTGATTTTCCTATACAGTGAACAACGCTTGAGCCATTCTGAACAAAAAAATTACAGTCTTCACTCCATATGCATCATAGCTGCTGTTCAGAAAAAGTCAGCATATTTTAAACCATACCAAAAATTGTTATGCCTTTGTATATGTGTTATGTTAATAATTTCAGATAATTTAAAACTATTCTTTCCCACATAAATGCCTTTAAGGACATTTTCAATTTGTTCAGGAAGCGGAAGCAGTGTCCACCATTCTTGGTCCCTGACCTTAAAAAGTCTGCAATGGCCTCCCACCAACTGGCCAAAATGTCTGAGCAAATATTCAAAACGCCCACCAGGGGGCCGTACCGCCCCGTTTGAGAAGAACCAATCCAGGCCGAAAATCTAGATTAGCGGTTATATATTGGGTGTTGGAGATAAAAGCTTGGTGGTGGTGGGAGTGTCCTGTGTGTGTTAAGCGGTCACGGAGCCCCAATATTACAGGCTAACTGGGTGTGCAGGGCATCAAGGCATACGTAGAGCAGCGCAGAGTGGGAGGGATTTTCTTAAAACTGTTCCTGGAGAATTGTCAAGGCAAGGAGTGATAGGAATTAAGGCTAGTGAGATGGTCTAGGACAAATCACGAAGGTCATTTTACGGTGTTATTCATAAGGGTGAGAGGAAGCCACTGAATAGTTGAAATATCAGCTACAGACAGCATTTATGGGCTGTTTCCACATGCCAATCCCTATTCTAAATTTTTTTAATGTGTTCCCTCCTGGAGCCACCAGAACCACTCAGGAGCCCAACTGCTCTGTCATCTAGTGCCCATTCACACTTTTCCATGGTGTCTCTAGGGAAGCTCTTCAGGTAAAAGCGCTTTTTGCACTTTATCTAGCCCACTCCACTAGGGGCTCCAGCCTTATGTGTATCACTCGGATCTGGCCAATCAGAGTAGCTTATTCTCTACCCGTCCCCCTCCCCTCAGTGATTGGCTTAGGGTCATTAGGAGGTGACCCAATCTGAACCAATGAGAATACTCTATTCTCGAGCTTGGAACTTTGCCTCTGCGCTAATATTAAAGCCCTTTTCTTCTCACCACAAAATGGGTAACTACCTTCAGAAGGGTCATCTGGGAATTTCATCCTAGAACCTTCCCTGGCTACTCTTGAGCAGACCACTGTATTCTGCCTTTTCTGCCAAGCACTAAGATTCCCCACCTAGTCTCTCACCGTCCCACACTGTTGTTTCAACTTCACTTTCCCCCAATCCTAGATTTATGCTTTGAGTAGGTCAAAAGAAACGCTTTCTCCTCTATGTACCATAGTTGTCTTTACCTCCTTGCCTTTAGGCTGTCTGTGCCTTGACTTGGGATACTCCCTCTTTCTGTTCAATAAGAATTTGTGGAGCGTCCAGCCCATGCTATACTGTGGAGTATGCAGAGATATATAATAGATCTGGTTATCTTCAATGTTGTGAAATCAATTTCATTTTGATGTGCTTAGGTGTGGGGAAAATGGGATTTTCTGACCAGGATTTCCGCCTGACTTAATAGCATTGTGTATATATTAAAAGCCCGTTTGCACATTTATTGGACGTTTACCAGGAACAGAGCTGCTGGTCAGTCATGGGAGCGCTGGCCCAGGGGAGGTGTGGAAAGGAAACACCCATTCTCTCCTCTCCCTGTGTTCCGGGTGCTTAATTGGCCAGGCCTCTGCCGGTCACCAGAGACTGCCCACAGAGTCGCTTCCTAAGCGTGGGAGCAGGGAGCCTAGTGCAGCCAGGGAGAGGGGAGAGAGAGAGCCTTGTAGCCTGGTGCTCTTGTAGAATTAAGCCTGAGCATGGAAGCAGGGAGTGGAGGGTGAGGAGAGACTGAGACCTACTGTCCAGAGGATTAATCTTGTGCTGGGGAGCAGTACCTGTAGCTGGCCTGGGGAGCACATTTGGGCCAACCCCTAGTACTGAGTGTCCTTGCTTTATTCCACCTGATCAAATTCATAGCGAACTTGCCCAATCCAGAAGAACCAATCCAGGCCGAAAATCTAGATTAGCGGTTATATATTGGGTGTTGGAGATAAAAGCTTGGTGGTGGTGGGAGTGTCCTGTGTGTGTTAAGCGGTCACGGAGCCCCAATATTACAGGCTAACTGGGTGTGCAGGGCCCAGGGCAGGAAACCCCTCCTCCTCGAACTTAACTAGGCAAGAATTTATTTTTACTTACCTAGTTTAGGATATGCTGAATCTGAGGTGGCTTTGGGGGTACTCAAACGCAGGGGTGACTAATGGTATATACCTCATCAAGGGCACAAGCACCAATGAGACTGTGCATATACGGACCTTAATGATCACAGCCAGTACTCAATGAACACATATTGTGGACCAGGCTGTGTGTGGCCATGAACTCATTGGACCCTCATAACAATGCCATGATACTGATACTATCATTAATTTTTTACTTTTATTTTATTGTGAAATGTACATTCAGGGGTATAAAATAGAGATGTATGACTTTAAAAAATATTTATAATGTGAACAACTGTGAATCATCAGCAGGTTAAGAAAAAACACAGAGCTCCCATGAGCCCCTACCCAGTTACAACTCCTCCCATCCCCTGAGGGAACTGCCTCTCTGACTTCTGTGACACTAATTTCCTTGCTTGTCTTTTCTTTATAGTTTGGCCTCTCATATATGTATCACCAACACTTTATAATAATTTCATTTTCCCTGCTTTCAAGTTTATTGAATAGAATAATACTGTGTGTCCTGTTTTCCGTTTGGCTTCTTTCATTCAACATTGTGTGTGTGAGATTTATCCATGTGGCTGTATGTATCAATAGGTCATTCCCTTTTCATTGCTATATAGTATTCTGTTTCATGAACATACTACAGTGTATTTATCCATTCTCCAGCTGATGGAAATTTGAGTGGTTCTCATTTGGGGCTACTACAAACAAGGCTTCTACGAACGTTCCTACTTGTACGTGTTTCCTGATGCCCATGTTCAAGTTCTCTAGGGTACTTAGTTTGGAACAGCTGGATTATAGATTATGTGCACTTTCAAATTTATTCAGTAAAACTACACTTTCCCATTTAAGATGAAGCAATTGCAACGAAAGGTTAAGTAACTTTCCCAAGATCAGACAGCCAAACTACATTGAACCCAGAGCTCCTTGCTCCAGAACTTGAGCTTGCACTTAGCACCCACTGGCACATGGTGAGCATGTAATAATTGAGAGCTCTTTTACTGAGGGCTGTTGGGGGATGTTCTTGGGGGTTTTCTTTCTTGTCTCCGTTATTTTGAACTCTGGTCCCATCCATTAATGATTAACTGCCCCCCAAGGAGCCTGTGATCCTAAAGATCCCTGGTTGCTGTCTGGTTAATCAGTCACTGCCCCTGGCCAGGCAAGGGACACTTGGTAGATCTGCTGCCCCCAAAGCCCCTTTGCTGGGTACAGAAGTGGCAAACGGGGTTCACGATGCTCCAGACTTGTCGTGTGCTCTGTTCCCAAGCCAGATCCTCTGCTGGTGGTTGGAAGCCCCTGAGCTTTGATGGTGGTGCCTTTCATCTCAAGGGCACAGGAGAACTGACACGGGCTTTGCTGGTGCTACGGCTGTGTGCCTGGCCCCCTTTGGTCACACATGGCCTGGCGGTGAGCAGTGACCCCAGGGACTGGCCTAGGGGATTCCCAGGACTGGGCACTGAGCCCTCACTCCCTTTCACCACAGCTCCAGGCCTGGTCTCAGCGACTCCTGGGCTCCCGGCTCTCAGGTGCGCTTCTCCGAGCATCTGTCTATGGGCAGTTTGTGGCTGGTGAGACGGCAGAGGAGGTGAGGGGCTGTGTCCAACAGCTCCAGACCCTAGGCCTCCAGCCCTTGCTGGCAGTGCCTACTGAGGAGGAGCCAGACTCGGCTGTCAGGACTGGGTGAGTAGGGGGTCAGGGCCCAAGGCAGCTGGGAGGATGGCAGGACTGGCGTGAGTGGGCTCCAGGACCTAATACCTGCTGGCTGCGCAGTGAGGCCTGGTATGAGGGGAACCTCAGCGCTATGCTGCAGTGTGTGAACTTGTCACGAAGCCTCACGGAGACCCCCGTCCCGACTGGGAACATTCTCATGCAGCTGAAGGTGACAGCGTTGGTCAGCACCTGGCTCTGTGTAAGGGACTGGTAAGGTGGGGGGTGGGGGAGGGGGTGGCTGCCCACCAGGTGCCCTCACCACTTTACCCATTACTCCACTGCAGAAGGAGCTAACCTCATGGGTCAGAAGGCCAGAGGCTCCCTTGGAGCTGAGCCCTGAGAGACTGGCAGAAGCCATGGACTCAGGGCAGGTAAGGACCTAGGGCTGGGGGAGATGAATGGTGGGTGGGGAATGTGGAGGGAGCAGAGTTCTCTGGACTTGGGTGTAGGAGGCACCTGCAAGCGGGATGTTTAAACGGTTTCCTGCTACTTCCCAGGCTTAGGAAAATCAGAATAAATGAGGCTACATCCCTAGGGCATGGTTGGGATGGACGGAACCTGGGTCATTCTGAGGGTCTAGGGGAGAGGACTCCAGGCTGCAGGCTCTCACAGGACTGAGTGGGATAGTAGTTCTATGCTAACTAGAAGAAAGTACTCAGTATTTTCTCAACCAACTCAGCTGTGCTCGTGTTGCTGGCTGGCTGGAAGTTCCAATTAGACCAATGGGATTTTTACTCTTTCACTCCTTCACTCCTTCATTCTTTCCTTCCTTCATTTCTTTTTACTTCCATATACTATTTCTACCCTCCCTGTCACTGGCAACCACTCCATCCTGTAAAACTTGTATCTGTCTTTGTTATTATGATTTTGTTTTGTGGTGCTACATGGCATGTTTTTCCATTTCATTATGAAAAATTTCAAACATACAGAGAAGTTGGAAGAATTTTACAGTGAACTTCCACATACCTGCCACTGTTAACATTTACTTACTTGTTTTTAAATCACATAATATCCGTTTCTCTATCTGTCCATCAGTCCATTTCTTTTTTATGCATTTTCAAAGTTGCAGACGTCCCCCCAAATGCTTCAGGATGCATATCATTAATTAGAGCTCTTTAGCTATTACAGTATTTTATTTCTTTTGAGGTAAAATTTCCATACGATGAAATGTATAAATTGTAAATGTATCTATTGATATGAATTTTGACAAATACACACACCTGAGCAGTCAAATCAAGATATTGAACATTATTATTGCAGAAAGTACCCTTCTTTATCAATCTGGGGGTGTCTTTTTAAATGTACACAAATAGCATCATTATCTTTCTAATTCTGTGTCTTATTTTTGTGCTGAGTACTGATTTTAGGGTGCATCCAGGTTTCTTTGTGTACCTCTAATCCATTGCTGCTAATTGCTGCCTCTAGCCTGATGATTTACCTCACCTGGGATGGACACCAGAGGCCTCTGAGTCACCCCAAACAATGCTGCAGGAGACATGCTGGTGTTTATTTTTTTAATTTTAATTTTTTTCTGAATTTCTAATTTAAAAACTTACAGAACATACAGAAGCAGGATTTAATGTTTCAGAGGATTGGCCTGGGAGGATAATAAGTTTCACATCTTTATGAGCTTTAGCTTTCTCATGTGGGGAACAGTGATAGCAACATCCTCCCAGGGCAGGTCCCTGCTGAGCTGTCATTTGACATCGAGGCGGACAGAGGGCCCTTCCTCTTTCTTACGGCTCGTGCTTCCTTTGGCATCCCCAACACCGCCACATCTGGTTTTGGTTTTCCATCTTCTCACTCTCATCTTTGTTAGGCTCTTCTCTGCTTGTTTCTTAAATATGGAGGTTCTCCCTATTTATGGTCCTGGCTTGCTCCCCCTCACTCCTTACTTCCCCGGAAGAGGCCTACTTGCCTACCCTATAGACTCTGTTTCCCCGCTCAGTACTAGGAAGGCCCAGTTTCTGTCTCTAGCCCCAGCTTTTTCCTGAGCCTCTGGACATCCCCCAGTCCTCTCACACCCACTGGCTCCCACACTGGCCGCAGTGTCTTCTCAAACCTTCCCCTCCTTCCTGTCCCCATCTCAGAGGCAGCACTACCATCTTTGTCTCAGATTTGAGCCCCCACCCATCTTTGATCTCCACAGCACAATTCATAAATGTTCTGTTCATTGCCATATCGCCAGCCCCTAGGACCTACACAAGATATGATCAATCTTATATTAAATGGTGAATGAATGAAGCAAGTGATTTTTAAACAGTAAGTTAATAGTGGAGAACTTACTGATCACTTACAACACGCGTTGTCCTAAGTGGTTCACATATGGTTGGCAGGAACATTTACTTTTTGCCTGTGAGTGGGTGTGTAGAGTGACGGATAAGAACTCAGGGTTTGTAGAAGCTGAGGTTCAAATCCCAGGTCAAGCTGTGTGACTTTGAACAAGTGACTTTACCTCTCTGTACCTCAGTTTCCCTCTCTGTAAAATGGGGATGATAACAGTTCCTGCCTCAGAGGATGGTGAAGATTAAATGGGTTGAATATTTAGTACCTGAAATAGCACCTGGCACTGAGTAGGCCCTCTATGAAGGTGGCCGTCATGTATGGGGGCTCCACCGGCTGCTAACACCCTAGAACTCCCCAGAGACTATGCCCCAAGCTGGGGTAAAGGTAACAGAGCAGGTGCCCCCAGCTCTGCCCCTTCTTGGAGAGAGCTTTTCCACCAAGAGTGGAGGGATGGGGCTTGCCGGTTCAGACCAACCTGCCTCCAGGGGCAGGTCCGTTAGCAGGTCTAGGCCTGCCTTGTCCATATCAACCCTATTAGATGTCATGGAACTAAGTCCTACTCATTCCTCTTTCTTGAACTCACTGGATTCCTTGATCACCAGCAGCTCATATTCACCTTTGAATCCCCATAACAGACTGTGAGTCAGGAGAGTTTATTATTTCCTTATTACAAACATATTAATTCCTTAAATGTCTACTGACCACCTACAGTGCATTAGGGGTGGAGGAGAGACAAGGACCGAGACAGACCAACTCCCTGCCCTCGAAGCACTTCCTTGCTGGTTCCGTAGGAATAAGCCTCATAGGGAAACATAAGGCTGGTGAAAGGGAAGGGAAAGGCCCAGACAGAAAGTTGCAAACTGAAACCAGGGAAAAGCTCATTGAGGTGACATTGGAGGAAAGACCCAGAGGAAAGGCAGGAGTGAGGTAAGTGAACATCTGGGGAAGAGCATTCCAGGCAGAAGGAACAGCCAGAGCAAAGGCCCGGGTGGGGAAAGTGGCTGGCATGTTGACAAAATAGAGAGGCCAGTGTGGCTGTAAGGCAGTGAGTGAGGCTGAGAGTGGCCCCGAGAAGGCGAGAGCAGGGAGGCAAGACAGAGCCACGTGGGCTGCAGTAAGGGCCCTGGCATTTCATGAGAAATTGAGGTGCTAAGACACTAAAGTGAGGTGACATCTATAGTGATTAGCATGAGCTAGCTACTGATCTAAGCACTCTTTGCATGTTAATTCCTAGTCCCTTCACTCACTGAGGTTCAGTCTTCTCACTGGAACATGGAGTTTGGAATAACTCCTGCCAACGAGGATCATTGTGAAGATTAAATAAATAAGAGAGTATGTGCAGTCTCCTATTATTATAATAATGACAACATGTATTGAGTGCTTACAATGTGCTGGCATTGTCCTGTCCTTATTATGTCCAGGCATATTTCACATTTGACCCAATTTTATCCACACAGCAACTCCATGAAGTAGATACTATTATCACCTAGTAGTTGAAAAATTAGAGAAACTTGAGACCCAAAGAGATTGGTTATATGACTTGTTTAAGGCCACACAGAAAGTGGTGGAGTCAGGATTTGAAGCCAGATTCTGGGGTCTTAACTACGGCATTATACCTCAATAAAGAGTGTGATATAGCTAATTTTCGTATTTCTAACACTTCCTAAACTTACTTTCCCTGGTGGTCGGGGAGAGGAGACGTAGCCCTGGAATGATCCAGTAGCATTGAGTTATTCTTGCCTCCCCTGCTACACCCTTAGGACCTCCAGGTCTCCTGCCTCAGTGCTGAGCAAAACCGGCATCTCCAGGCCTCTCTGAGCCGCTTGCACCAGGTGGTACAGGTAATAAACACCTTCTGCCACGGTCTGGTTCCTCTGCGTGTGCTGGGCACCCTGGAGACTGACCAAGTCTCTCACCTCAGCATGCCCGGGCCCGGTACGTGAGGCTCCTGGTGGATGCTGAGTACACCTCGCTGAATCCTGCTCTCTCTCTGCTGGTGGATGCCCTGGCCATGCGCTGGAACAGCCCTCAGGAAGGCGGGCCCTGGGTGTGGAACACTTACCAAGCCTATCTGAAGGTGTGTGGTGCGCCCTGGGACACTGTGCCCTGGTATCCCAGTGCCCTGACCCAAAGCTGCCTGTGTGCTCTGCCAGGACACGCATGAGCGGCTGAAGCGGGATGCTGAGGCTGCAGACAGGGCTGGCCTGGCCTTTGGAGTGAAGCTGGTACGGGGGGCATATCTGGACAAGGAGAGAGAGGTGGCCCGTGTTCGAGGGACTGAAGATCCCACTCAGCCTGACTATGAGGCTACTAGCTGGAGGTAAGACTGCACCAGGCCAGCCTTTGAGATGAATACAGTAACATCCAACCTTTAATTAGAGTTCACTACCCATGGTTTTGAGCATCCTATGTGTGTCTACATATTACTCTCTCTCCCTGGTCCTGGACACCATCACTTCCCAACTTAACAGCAGCTTCCTCGGACTCTCTGTTCCCGCCTCTGTCCCCACTGCCCAGTCTGTCCCCAGCATGCAGCCAGAGGGAGCCTGCTAATACCTAAGTCAAATGGTGCCCCTACACAGTTCAAAATTGGTCCATCACTCTCATTGCACCTCCACGAAACCCCCATTCCTTACAGCAGCCCAGAGACCCGACATGATCTATTCCTGTAGCCCTTCTATGCTCTCCCCTTCCTGCACTCCAGGCACACTGGCCTCCTTGATAATCCCCAGTGCCTTTGAACTTCCTGTCCCCACTGCCAAGAATGTTCTTCTTCCAGACAGCTGCATGGCTCAATCCCTCACTTCCTTAGGTCTTTATTTACTGGTACCTTCTCAGGGGACCTTCCCTGCCCTCCCTATCAAAAACTAGAACACCCACACCCACTCTTCCTGGGTTTATCTTTCTCTTTAGCTCTTAGGGCATCTGCAGTTCGGTACAGCTTTGTATTCAACTGTGCACTGTGTATCTCCTTAGTTACTAGCGTGTGGGCCCAGGAGGGCCGGGCTTCTGATTTGTTCAGGGCCGAACCCCCAGTGCTTAAAATGGTTTCTGTCACAAGGCAGGTGCTCAGTGAAGATCTGTTGAATGAATGAATAAATATCCAAACTGGCAGATACTATTATTATCATCCCCATTTCACAGAGGAAGAAACCCAGGCACAGAGAAGTGGAATCACTTACCCAAGGTCACATAGCTAGTAAGTAGAAGGGCCAAGATTTGAGCCCCAGCACACAGGCTCTAGAACCCCCATTCTTACCCACCTCAAATTACCCATTCTGGGGGAAAAGTATGGGTGAGCCCCTTGAAGTCCCATTCCATGGCTCTGGAAAGAAGGAATCAATTCCTTCACCAGATCCCTTCTGATCACCTGATTCAGATCAGACCGTGGTCCCAGGAGCAGCCAAGGCAGACCCTAGGCCCTCTCCTCAAGGAGCTTGCAAAGGCCACCTCCATTTCACGGTGGGCCAAGGAGAGGTTTGCAGAGGTGCAAGGACTTACCTAAGCTTGCAGGCAGGGCAAGTGGCCAAGCCATTGTTAGAATCCGGGCTTGCATCCAAGACCCATGCAGGCTCCTAGGCATGTTGGTGTTCTATTGCTTAATCACTGGAACCATTAATTTTTTTTAAATTTTTTTACTGAGATATAATTCACATACCATAAAATTCACATTTTAAATTGTACAACTCATGAGTTTAGTGTGGTCACAAAGTTGTGCAGCCATTACCACTGATTCCAGAACATTTTCATCACCTCAGAAAGAAACCCCACATCCATTAACAGTCCCACCCGCTTCCCCGACTCAGTCCCTGACAGCCACTCACCTACTCTCTTATCTATGTGGCCTGGGAACGAGAGACTGAGCTCTTGCAGCATCGGTCTTTCCCTCTGTAAAATGGGGAGAGCCAGACCATGCAACTCACAGAGCTGATCTGAGAATTAGATGAGTGAATGTATGTGTGTCAGGCAGGGTCCCAGATGAAAGAGAATTCCATGCAAAGGGGTTTGACCAAAGTAAATCTAGTGAAGTGTACTCCATTTATAGAGTGTGGGCAAGGTTAGGGGAAGCCACAAGGGACGTGGAGGCCCCCAGGAACCCACAGCAGCAGGAAGCTGTTATGACCCTGCAGTGCAGCTGAGGAGGATGGGGAGGAGGTGTGGCCACACACAGGAGTCAGGGTAGGCCCGGGAGGGGGCTGAGGGGCAAAATACCCTGAGCTGTCTCTTCATCTTTCTGAGGGACCAAGAAGGGCAGAGAACAGATCTAGGGGGCGATGGAGAAGAGCCAGTGTGGCTTGTGAAATCAATAGGGTGACACCCGGCCTATTGCAAGCGGGGAAAGCACTGGCCAGTCCGTCTGCCTGTTGGCATCAGCACCCAGAGAGCGTCCTCTGTTCATTTCTCAGAGGCACGGCACCCCCCTGCATGCCACCGCCCACTTAGGTAGTCCCCACTGCTGGGCATTTGGGTTGTTGCTGATCGTGCTCTGTAGGCAGAGCTGCATTGAATGATCTTGGGTAGACGTCTGTGCACGTCATGTGGCCCTTGGCTGGAAGACTACCATTATGCCAAAGGTTTCATGTACACTGTCGTCTCTCTCCTTCCCCAAAAGCACTGTTAGGTGAACTTGCATTGTTACAAGAGAGGAAAAAGGCTCCGAGAAGGGCTATCCCTTGAACCTGTGCAGATGGAATGGGGGTACTTTTTGACTCCAGAGTAGTTGCCTTCAGGAGCCCCCTAGGGACAGGAATCCCCTGTCCCCTGGCCTGACCCTCACTCACCAGGTGCCATAAGGAGAACGGAACCTTTCCCTTCAGTTACAGTCGCTGTCTGGAGCTGATGCTGACCCATGTGTCCCACAGTGGCACCAGGTGCCATCTCATGGTGGCTTCTCATAATGAGGAATCTATTCGCCAGGCAACTAAGCGGTATGAGGTGGGGGAATGGGAGGCAGGTGCCCACAGGAAGACCCCCTCTTTTCCTCTCCATTGCTTACATGCCAGAGATGGGCAGAGGGTGGTGGAGGAACAATGTGGGGCCAGTAGTTTCAGAGGGTTCTATGGAAGATATCCAAAATATTTAACCCCTGCTACATCTATAGGTCCTGTAGGCCCCAGCTGAACAAGGCATAGCTGAGGTATGAGGAGGTCCGAGGACTCTAGGGAAAGAGCTGAGACTCACTGGGGAGCTTTTCGGGGGCTGAGAGCACAGGTTATTTATTATTGAGTTTGGAAGTACTTCAATATTTGAGTAACTGGAACAGCTATATGGATGTGTAATGGCTGACCTTCAGCTGTGGATCCAGCCACTTTTAGAGTGATGATGCGGCCTTTTCTGCAGCATGTGGGAGCTGGGCATTCCTCTGGATGGGCCAGTCTGTTTTGGACAGCTTCTGGGGATGTGTGACCACGTCTCCTTGGCACTGGGTATGTGAATGGCCCCTTCTCCCATCTCCAGGCCCCGTGCAGGTCCCACCCAGCCCCAGGACTCCCTCCCTCCTAGCCAGAGCCTTTCTCCTAGTCCCAGCCAATGCCTGGCCAGGCTCCCACCCAGAGCCTGCAGCTGGCGTAGCTGCAGTACCCTTCCGGATGGATCCGCTGTTCCCGGATCTGAAGGCCCTGCAGGTCTGTGTCTCTGGGCCTGTTGCCTGTTGTTTTTTGCTGCTTCTTGATCATGGTGTCTTGTTTTATGTGAGTTTTGTTACCTTATTGCGTTGCTTCTCAGGGTCTGAAACCAGAAGATTTATGTTTTATTCTGCCAGGTGCTAAGGGGTACAGAGCCACTTTACCCTAAATTTACAGCGTGCAGTTTCTTGAGCTATGCCAGTGTGCAGATTTGGGCTACACTATGTGAGGGCGTGAACCCATGGCCTCAAACTCTCAGAGACAGATTTCTGTTTTCTTCCCTGATCTCCTTATCATCAAGGCCATTCCTCGTGCACGGGGGAAGGTGGGAGGGTAGACTTCTTGTTAATTCTTACTCCAAGGATACGGATTTTTGGGTTCCAGCTTAACTTGGCAGAAGTTCTCCTTTACAACTCTCACTCCTCCAGACTTTGGGCCTTGATTTCCATATCCCCTTAACTCTCTGAAGTCATCAAAGAGCAGCTTAATTTTGCCTTCAAGGCAGAAGTGCTTCCTTTACATCCCTTCCCTCTTTGGGTTCTCACTGTCTCTTAGTTCTTGGATAAGTACATGCCTTATTCTCTATAGCATTTTAATAACTTTAAGATTTTAAAAATGCTTACTGCAGGAGTTTTAGTTTTTTTAAGTGGGAAATTTTGTCCCACTCACCTAGTCTGCCATGTTTTAGAAATGGAAGCCTCTGATCCAGGTGGAGTCCTGGGGGAGTCTGTCCCAAACATGAGCCACACCCTGCCAACACTCTCCCCACAGGGCAGGCCGGCTATGCCGTGTATAAGTCCATCCCCTACGGCTCCCTGGAGGAGGTGATCCCCTACCTGATCCGGAGGGCCCAGGAGAACCGGAGCGTGCTGCAGGGTTCCCGCAGGGAACAAGAGCTGCTCAGGCAAGAACTTCGGAGGAGGCTGCTGGGACGGGGCCTGAGGGCACCCCATTAGCACCCGCAGGGGTCATGTGGTCAATAAAGATCCTGAACCTCTGCTCTGGCTGCTGCCCTGCCCACACTGAAGCCACTCCCTTTGGGAAGGGCTAATCTCAACCTCAGCCCGCCTAAATTAGGGGCCTCTGCAGCTCAAGAGAGACCTTTAGATGACCGCAGAGCATATAGCAAGGACATTGATCAAAGACTAACGAGGCCTCCCTTCAACTCTGAGGCAGTCTATACCACAATAGCCCTGGGGTCACCTCTACTCAGCCAGTCAGTGGCTGACTCGGGAACTTTACTTCAGTGGATGCCCAGATGAAGAGCAGACACTGAGGCACCGAGGACAAGAGGTGCGCTAAGGCCGCAAATGGGGAGAGGGGCAAAAGGGGCACACAGTCTCTCATTTAATAAGAATTGACAGAGGCCACCTTCTGAGATAGGAGCCAAGCTGGGAACCCAGGGAAGCAGGGCAGGAGATCCCGCCAGGCCCCTGGAGCAGGGTGCTGCTACAGTGAAGGGTGTCGGTGGAAAGGACAGTCAGGAGGCTGAGTGGACGGACGATGGGGCTGGTAGGCTGGATGGGAGGGGGACATTTAGGAGAAGCCCAGGGCTCTGGCTGGAAGAGGACAGTGGGGCCAACCCTGAGATGGGGATCTGGGAGGAAATATGGTTTGGGGGAGATACTGAAGTCAGTATGGGAGCCTACGGGTATAAAGGTCCCAGGGGACATCCAGGGGGAGGTGTACAGGACACTGGGGGTGCCCAGGTCTGGGGCAAAGAGGAGACAATGGGGTAGAAACAGTCCTTGGCATTGGAAGAAAAGCATGGGGAGATAGCCAAGGACAGGGATCAGGGTCTTGCCACCTCAAACAAGTCCTGGGATTGAGGGTAAAAAAGGGGTGACAAGTAGGGCACAGTCGACAGCTCTGTGGCGGACTTCTGGGTCTCTCCTCTCCGGTCATGTCAGGGACTGACTGACTCTCAAGAAGAGAGGCTACTGCATAAGTGCAAATCTGGCAGGACACCACTGATGCGCATGTGCCTAGGATTCCTGCCCAGACCTGTGGGGCTAGTCACGCCTCGGGGTCACGTGGCAGCCACACAGTCCTCACTGTGCAAGCCCAGTGGTAGGTGCGAAACTTCCCAGACTGTTGTCTGGGACCGAGAACCTTCCTGGAGCTTACTGGGCCCAAAGCTGGCTCCCAGAACCCACCCTCAGACCTGCCCCTCCCTCATATTCCCTTCGCACCCCTCCTCCCCCTCAGCCCCCACCCTGTTATCAGCCGCTCACTCAGTCCCACAGACCCTTGCCGCAGCCCACAGATCCAGTGCCCGAAGCCTTTCAGTCTCCCTAGCCTAGCTCACATACGCTCCCTGTTCCTTAGTCCGCACCCTGACCCTCAGACACGATTACAGCCTGGAGACCCGAAGTCCTCCCTTTCCCTAGACCGCAGACCCTGCCCCCAGGCTGTCCTCCTCTCTTGGACCCCCTTGCACACCCTGGAACCCCCACCCCCTCTCAGGTCCTAACCCTGCAGCCCCTGTAACTCCAGCCCATAGGTACTCTTCAGCCCCTCCTCCTGCAGACTCCGTTCCCGGGCCCAGATCCTATCCCTGTAGCCACAACACCCACTCCCACAGACAGAATGCCCAGCCCTCAGATCTCCTTAGATTCCTGGTCTTACAGTATGTCAAACTATCAGAGTCCACCCTTTTGCTCATTTACCCACTTTCCGACAAATTAGACCCCTCTTGAATCCGTCCTTTCTCAGACTGCACCTGGAACTTTCAGCCAGCTCTGTTTTTATTGCCTCTAGAGGTCCCATATTTCATTTTCTCCTGCCATCATGAGACCTCCTAGCTGATCCCTGCCCAGAAGCTGCCTAAATCCGGACCCACAGGTGCCCTCACTGTGCTCCCACTTCCTGCTGGAGCTGGATTCTGTGGGGGGTTCAGAAGCCCAGGTGTGCCGTCTGCATTGCCTTGCTGCAGCTGGGGGCCCACACGGAGGCCTCACCTGGCTCCTGCGGAGAGGTGAGAGTCTGGCGGCTGGAACTGCCTATGAGGGCAAGATCAGGGGCTAGTATGGTGTGACTATGAAGGTGTGACTTCACTTGGCCAGTCAACAGTTGTGTGCCAGGCACCTAGTGTGTGCCAGGCTCTGTTGTCTGTGATGGGGATTCAGGGGTGAACATGACTGAGCCATTGTGAATGAAATCTATTATGGGAATTCGAGAGAGTGATGAAGAGGAAGTAGGCCTACTGAAAACGATGGCCTTTTGGATGGGTTGATATTTGAGCCCCACAGGATAAGAGCCAATCATGCAAAAACCTTTGGGAAGAGCACTTCAGAAAGATGGAACAGCCAGTGCAGAGACCCTGAGGTCAAAATAAACTGCGTATGTGTAAGTAGCAAGGAGACTCAGGGAAAGGACCGAAGCTGAAGAGGCAGCAGGTGCAGACAAGAAAGGGACTCAAAAGGAGTGCGAGCTTGTTGGATTTTGTTCTGTGTGTGATGGGGAACTATTGGAGGTGTAAGTAGAGAGTCAACATCCAATTTACAATGTCCATTTTTCATTGATTTTGGTAAGTTGATTGTGTTTTTGGCCACTTTCTGAACTTAATATAATTGTTGATTCTTTACATGTTTTGTTATTTGCATGTGGTGACAATTGGGTCTCAGCCCTTTCATCTTTATACTCTAACTTCTTTTTCTTGTTGTAAGATGTTGGCAGGAACTCTCAGCCTTGTTGATGGACATCTCTTTCCTTGCTGATATTAAGGGGAATGAGTGTGTGTTTCTGCCTTAAGCATCATGTATGCTTTTGTGTTTTGGTCTATAATTTTTATCAAGTAAGGAAGTTCCCACTAATTCTTAGTTTTCTGAGGTTTTCCTTTTTTCCCTAATCATAAGTGTTGAATTTTATCAGATACTTTTTCTGTATCTACTGAGTTAAATGTGATTTTTGTCCTTTGATCCATGAATGCATTTTACTACAGTGATAGATTTTCTTATGTTGAATCATCTTTTCTTTCTGGGAATAAGTCGACTGGGTTATCCCTTTTGCTTCTTTAGAGGTTTTTGCATATATGATCATAAATGCAATTGATAATTTCATTTCTGATTCTGGAAACTCTTATCTGGTTTTGGAATTAAGGTCATACTAGCCTCATAAAATCAGCCTTACAATTTTTTTCTGTTTTTGGAACAATTTGTGTAAGATTGTCTATACATGAAATGAAATGGTTATGATTATAATGAATACCTATATCATGCAATGATTTAAATTGAAGAAGATCCTCTGCAGGGAAATACAAGTGCAGAAAACCAGGTAGGTTGCCCTTGCAAAAGAGAGTGGGTCACTGAGTAAAAGAGAATGCAATAAATGTATGTTCAGAGGTTCCTAAAGGACCACATTTGGAAGGATTTTGTGGCAGAGACCAAACTGGGTTGGACCAAGTGTGTGATTAGCCCTGTGTGCCAAGGACATAGGAGTGCAAAGACAAGACTCCATGCGTTTGCCCTCCTTAGTGATATGGGCTGGGTTCTGGAGGAGGAGGACACTGGGGATGCTGGGTGCAGAGATGAGGGGTTGGGAAGCAGTATCTGAGTAGGAGGACTGTGGGCAGGAGATTGGGGTGGACATGGAGGTGGAGGTGAAGAGGAAGTTGCTGCTTGGATTCGGCTCCTAGTGCAGTGTTCAAAAATGACTTGAGAAATTTCCTGATAAAATCCCAAATCTGCTTTTCTTGAAGAATTGGATGATGGCCAGGTGGGACCTGTATACATACACTGAATTAGAGCTGGGTGGAGGCTGCCTGCCTTGGACAGTGCATGAGGCACTGTTCTCATGAAATCCACTTTCCCCTGGCCCCTGCGTGCCTTTCTGTGATCCTGACACCTCTGGGATGGGGGATGGATGTTGGCATGGCAGGTAGATGTCACTCCTTGTTCCAGCTATGGATTTACTGGTGAGCACTGCTTTGAGGCAGATTTTGAGGCAGAGTTCCCAGAAGCTTGTTGTCAGGGGTGGTGTTCTAGGACAGAGAGATAGAACCTGGAATCAAGAATCACTCAGTCAAGGAGGGATTATAGGTGCAGGGAATTGGCAACGGTGTTGCCCGGAAGCCCCCAAGAACTCTGGGACAGCCCTAAGCCTTGCTGCCCTTCAGTTATCCAGGTAGATGGTGAGCACTCTGCTGGGCAGACAGGGCTCTTCCTCTTGGTGCTGTTGGGCCACAGCTCTGCTGCGAAGTTCCTGCTGGCCTCTGGTGCCAATCCCAACCAGTGAGTGGACGGGTGGTGAAGCCCCCACATTCCCAGGGCCCCGAGTCTGAGCCCCAGAGAACCTGAGAGCCAGGGCTCTCTTCGAAGGGGCCTTTCCGCTTCCTTCACCAGGGACCCCTCCCCTTGTCCTCTCAGTGAACCTTTTGTCCTCCAGTGACTATTCCTGTTCTGCTGGGGCCTCCCATGCTCACAGTGATCCTCGCACCTCTCAAGGACCCCATTGTGACCCCTCCCATCCTGAGATCCACCTCCCATGTACCCAGTGACCCCTTTCATCCCTTAAGCTCTCATCCTGCCATCTCTTGTCCCTGAAGTGTCCCCTTTGCCATCCATTCCTGTCATTGTCCTGCTGGCGCCCATGGCAGTGCACCTGTGCACGCAGGTACATTTTTGGGCCATGGCCTGTGGATGTTGCAGCTGCCGCAGGCAGGGGTGACCTGCATCTGCATGACCAGCAGGAGCCCATGCTTCAGGGCTCACGGAGCAGGGTGATGCCAGGCAGAGCTGGGAGGTGAGCGCTGGCCCGAGGTAGGGTGGGGACATCAGAGCCAGCACCCCCTCTGGGCCTCACCCAAACATCCCCCATCCAGGTGCTGGAGCTGTTACAGCACTGTCGTGCCCACGCATCAGCACTAGTGCATGGCAGTGTTAGTGCCCACTGTGTCCCTGGGCCAGTTGCAGGCAAGCTGTGGACACAGCGTGGTTCCCTGTCCATGCTCCAGCTGGCTCAGGTGGACAGATAACTATCCACACCGTGAAGCCCACCCACCCACCACTCCCAGCTACCCCAGACTTACCTTCAGACTGCCCTTTGCCCCAGGACATGGAAGCCAGAGCATCAGAAGACCCCCACAAATCCCAGCCTTGGGGTTCTGCCAGGTAAGCAGAAGGTGGGGGAGTAGGGACACCCTTGTCCTCTTTGTGCCTCAAAGTCCCACTCCCCACCCCCAGCTAAGCAGCCTGTGGCCACTGGGTCTGGTAACAGGCATACCCCTCATGGACCCCCAGGAGCTGTTGCTGGCCCAGCGCGAGCCTGACCGCACCTGGGAGAGCAGCTCCCACATCCTCTTGGCCAAGTGAGAGAGAGTTCCCGCCCATGCCTCTGGGGAGGATCCAGCTCTCCTGCTGCCCTTACAGGGAAAACCTCCTTGTCTCAGGCCTGCACTGCTTCATAGTCCCTCTTGCTGTTCTCCAGCCTCCTGTGGAGGGGCTACCCCATGACTGTGCGGCAGTGGAAGGCCCCTGGAAAGCGGCCTGATGTGCTGTTGGCTGCCCTTGAGCACTGCAGGTATGCCACCCAGCCACCTCCCCAGGCAGCCCAGTCCCACGGACTGATCTGCCACTCTTCTGCCTTAGGCGCTTCATGAGGGTGCAGCAGTGGCCACGGTTAAAGTCTTCACTTCCAGGCCACACCTGGCATGGAGCCCTCCTACTGGAGTGATGCCCCTCCTTACCCATCCACCCCCTCCACCCCCAGACTAACTGGTAACTGGGTCCCAGTGCTGTGTCTTATAGGCCCCAGAGAGGAGGGTACAGGATACCATGGATGGGGTGTGAACTGGGCTCTATCACTGCCTGGTTCTGTGACCCGGGTCTCAGTTTCTCCTCTGTCCAGTGACTGGTGCAGCTCACTGGCTCATGCTGATCTGTGTCCAGGAACAGACCCCACTGTAGACTTGGAACTCCTTGTGAGTTGCCCATTCTTCTGCCCAGTGCCCTGCACCACCCCAGCCTGTTGCTGCTGATGGCACTGAGCCCCTTGGCCAACCTATTGGGGCTGTGCCTTCTCCTCGAATCCACGTGGCTGGGCTCCCTGTGCGTAGTGCTGCACCCACAGAGACTGAGGGAGGGCCCTGTACCACGCCAGGCCTGCTGCCCAACCATCTGCTGCTGCAGGTGCTGGAGGCCCTGCCATTCCTGCCGGCCCGCTGGCGTGTTTGCATGGCCTCAGCTCTCATGCTGGGCAGCTGGTGCGGCCAAGCCTGGCCAAGGGGGGCAGCCTGGAGCATGGGCACTTCCTGCACCACTGCTGGCTGAGGCCCAAGTGAGTCCCTGCTTCACCTACCTGCCCCTGTGTCCTGTCCAGTAGTCACTGGCTCACCAGGCCCCTTGGCCTCCACAGGGCTCCTCCTGGGGAGGCCCAGGCTCAGGGCTGCCCCTGCCACCTCAGACCTCTACAGCTTCTGCATCCTGGTCCAAGTCTTCACTGCTCAGTGTGTGACCCCATACCCTACTCCACTGAGGCACCCCTCTCGTTTGGGTCTCTCAGTCATGCTTCCTCACAGGAGAGCTGCCCTGGGATGAGATGAAAGCTAAACTGGAGGCAGGTGAGAGCCCAGCCCTCAGCCTACAGGTGTCAGCCCCCTACCAGGCCCTGGTTTGAGCTGGGGTAGGCCTAGGGCCCACTGACCATTGGGGCAGCCTGCAAGGTACTTGATATCTGCTGCGGGAGGCCATGGCCCAGGTGCAGGATGGGTTAGCGGGGGTGGGTGGTAGCTGCGGAACCTTAGAAAAGGCCCATGTCCCACACTCAGCCCCCTTTCTGCAGGACTCGGCTCCTGAGGTGAGCTCCCTGACAGATTGGACCACACTGTGCCCTGTACTCCAGGGGTCTTCACCAGGTCAGAGAACAAGGAGGGGTGGTGGCAGGTGCTGGGCACAGCTCATCTGTGCCCCTCCCTTTACTCCAGCCAACTGGTCTGTCTCCCCAGATACTGTACTATGAGGTGATTCCCAGAGCCAAGACTACACCCAGGATGGTGCCCCCTGTGATGTCCCTAGACTCCCCCCAATCCCAGGTAGGAGCCAGGGTAGGGATGTGAAGAACTAATGGAGCTGTGGGGCACCTGGGCAACCCATGCCAGCTCTCTGCCATCACTTTCTGCAGGCCCTGGAGACTCCCAAGGTCACAGGCCCCAGCAGAGTCCAGAGGGGCACAGTCTGGGACTCAGGCAGCAGCCTGAATCTCAGCCCTGCCCTCTGCACAGGCCCCAGCCCCACAGCCAGGGTCAGCCTGCACTACTGCCTGGAGCCCAGGTCAACAGTATGGTTACCCCCAGAGCCCTGTGCAGCCATCCAGTCACTAACCTGTGACCTCTCACCACAGTTGTCACCAATCCGTTTCCCTGGCTGCCTCTCTTCTGACCAGGGACACCCCTCCCCACTTCCCGGGACTCCAGCTGTCTCTTCACTCGTGACCTGTGACCAACCCTACTTTCCCCAGGGCCCTGCCCTGCACTCTAGCCTTCAGGACTCAGCCTCCTTGCTGGGGAGCCAGGGCTCTGTGGAGCAGTTTGAAAGGAAGTTCTCAGCCAAGATCCAAACCCTGCAGGAGAATGTGGTGGCACACACACAGGGCTGCCCTGCTGGACCCCCAGCCCTGTGAGCCCAACCCCTGCCTGCTGACCCACAGGGAGGCTTTCCCCACTCTGGGGGCTCTTGGCAGAGAAGGCCATGTAGGCAGGTGAAGCAGAGGACCCTGAACCCCTCCACTGCCCCATCCCACCCTCCCAGGCCTATCCTGGGCCCCATGGCTACAGAGAGGCAGCTCCAGCCTTTGTCTCCAGCAGGCACCCAGCCCTGAGCTAATCAGAGGCCTCTCCTCCGGCCTGCGGAAGTGAGAAGTGGGCCCTGGCGGGAGTCCTCTGGGCACCTTCCTCCTTGCTGAGGTAAGTCTGTGTCCACTTCTACCCTACTGCTTCCCAGGATGATCTGCTAGAGGAGATCTTAGCAGAGCTGCAGGGTGGATGCCAACGCAGACAGACCCAGCCTCGACCCCACTCCTAACACATCAGATTCTTAGGGTGCCCATGGCCCCTCTCTGCAGATATTACCCCTTAGAGTGACTCTCCACTCAGCACCTGCTGAATGATAAAATGAAATAAGATGATAAAGCAACCCATCTGGATCCACTTCTTCATTCACCGAGCCTGGTCCCAGCATGACACTAGCGGCCACATTTTCACCATTTTTTTTTTTGAGGGCATCTCTCATATTTATTGATCATATGGTTGTTAACAACAATAAAGTTCTGTACAGGGGAGTCAATGCACAATCATTAATCAACCCCAAGCCTAATTCTCAACAGTCTCCAATCTTCTGAAGCATAATGAACAAGTTTTTACATGGACATTTTCACCATTTTTATTCATTAATTTTGCCAGATGGTTTAGTCGGGTGTGTAGGGCAAGATGGGCAGCAGCTGTCCCCCCACCCCCTGTGCACAGGTCAGGACATGCTGGGGGCTCCTGGAAGGAGAGGGAGGACAGGGTGTCAGCCTAGCCCTCACATTTGTGCGAGAGCCCCCAGGATGGAGGATGGTGGGAGGATGGGTGTGCCCTTCACCCCGGGGTAGGGAAGCTATGATAACAGCTTAGGGACCCACATCAGAAGCAAGTTACAAAGTTAGAAACCTGGGGTAGGGGTCAGGAGTTCAAGAAAATACAAAACAAGGGATTGGGTTGGGCCACAATCAGTAAGGGTGAGGAACGGGGTGAAAGTTTCTCGCAGCTCTGGCTCAACAGTAGCTTTGAGTCTGACCCTCAGAGTGGAGGGACCAGCTGGGAGTGGGGTAGGGAGGAGGGGGACCAGCCCCCTCTCTTCCTTGCCCCCCATTCCTGTACAAGGACCCTCGGGGGTGCTCACCCCCCCTCCTGTAAGCTGGCGGGGCTGCCCTGTAGAGCAGGAGAGGCTCAGGAGGGCCCCAGGGCCCAGGCACCCTGTGAGGGGTGTGGGGACCCCAGGGAGCCCGCTGTTTCTGAGGGAGGTGGGGGGCTGGGGGGCCAGGATCTGACCGGCTACGGGGATGGGCAGGAGGAGAGGAGGAGCTGGAAGAAGCAGGTGAGGGACCTCTGGGCCCTAGGGCTAGATTGACATACAGGGGCTCAGGCCGGCTGGGGTGTCGGGCAGGGTGCTGGGGGACAGAATAGCCAAGGTGGTCATGGGGAAAGCACGAGGAAGGTGGTGGGTAGCTGAGCAGGAAATCAGGGGACCTGTGGAGTGGTGGCGATTGGCCAAGCATGCCATATGAGGCATTGAGCCTATCTGGGGGCATGGAGCGAAAGGGACTCCAGGACTGAGTGGGACCTGAGTAGGGGGACCCCTCCCCAGCCTCGATCTCATAGTACAGGTTCTCTCCCCTGTCAAGTGGTGCAGGGGGACCGAGGGGGCTCCTCCAGATTGGGGCTGGGGAGCTGGGCTGGAAGGATGGGGAGCCCAGCGGGTATAAGCCTGGTTTGGGGACCCCAAGGAAGGGTGGCAGACATTCCCGGGGGGCTGAGGAGAAGCCAGGGGTATGAGTCTGTGGGGGGACAGAACGCAGTAACTGGGCTCCTGTTTCTGATGCATCCCTGCACCCTACACCTGTCCTGAGCTGGGCACTGACCTGGGCAGGGCCTCTGAGTCCCCTCCTTGAAGTCCCCATGGGCCGCTGGCTTCTCACCAGGCTCCCATCATTTTGTTGCCTTAGTAGAGAGGGTGGGGGTCCTGAAACCCAGGCACTGGGATGGGCTAGGGGGTGGGGAGGTGGCCCACTCCCTGGGGTACCTGGCGGATCACCGCCCACCTCCAGTGACAGGGAGCGGTGGAAAGGGGAGTGGGGAGCAGATGGGGTGGCCCCTTGCCCCTGTTGGCTCTGTCTCTGGGCCACCTGCTGAGCCCGCTCAGCCAGCGCCAGGGCCATGAGGCGTGCTGGGTTCTTGGGGGGTGGGGGTGGGGCTCCCCCAGGGCGCAGGAGGGACAGGGGTGGGGGAAGCGGTGAATCCATACCAGGACCTACATAGAGAAGAATGGGAAGGGGAGTCAGCTGGGTCTTGTGTGCAGCCTCGGGCTGTGAGACTGGGGTAGGCTGAGCGGGACTCACCAGGCTGGCCTTGGGCTCCCTGGGGACCAGGCAGTGCCAGCTTGTTGCAGATCTCCTGTTGGCAGGTGTCACTCAGCTGGGCCTCAGCTCCACACAGCAGCAGGGGGATGAGATGGGGGCGTAGCCCTGGGGTAGGGCTGAGGGCTGGTGTTGGGGTAACTGAAGCAGGTGTTCCCCCAGCCCCCAGCAGCTCCAGAACTGCAGGTGGCACTGATACGGCCAAGGGCTCTGAGATGTCCAGGGCGGAGGGTGAGGCAGGGCTGGTGGGCCCATGGGGTGAGAGGGCCTGGGGGGTCATCCTGGGTGGGAAGGCTGAGGCGGGGGCTGGGGGTGCTGGGCTGGCTGGAGGTGCAGGGTCCCCAGGGGTAGGGCTGCTGCAGCGAAAGGTAAGGGGGTCAAAGTCGAGCCCCCGGAGCCCCTCCAGGCAGCGAGGTGGGCTGAAGTCCAGCTCATCACCATCATCTAGCCAGGCTGAGGTTCGGTGCGAGGGGGAACCGGAGAGTGCTGCCAGCCCAGCTGCAGAGGAGGAGGAGGAGGAGGAGGAGGAAGAGGAGGAGGAGGAGGAGGAGGAGGAGGAGGAGGAGGAGGACAGGCTCTCGCAGGAGCCAGCGGGTGCCGGGCCCACAGGGAAAGCATCACTGCTGGAGTGGGGTCGCCGTAGCCTGTGTAGCCTCTGGAGGCCTAGAAGGGCGGTGGAGGGGTGGGCAGTTAGGGATCAGGGGTCAAAACTTCCCACATGCAAACATCAGTGAACTAGGGCACACAAACCAGAGGGCTGGGGGGACAACATGAAGAGGTGCTTCCCTAGATAAGGTGACAATGGCTGTGAATCCAGGGGGAGCCGTTCAGGCTCATGGGGGTGATGAAGGAAACGAAAGTCCCTGAAGAGGAAGAACTATTCTAGACCCAAAGGCAAGAATGAAGTCTGATACCCCACAGGCTGTGAGCATGAGGCCCCCAGGATCTGAGGCATGGCTGCTGGGAGTGCAGACTGGGGTGGCCACTTTTGGGCCTTGCCCAGATGAACATGAGCATGCCCCATAGTATGCACTTCCACTCCCGGGTACAGGTAGAGCTCACCAAGGAGTTTGGGTACAGCAGGGGCTGCTCATCAGAACCCCCAAAACCCATCGGGAGTAGGATGGACAACAACTTGCAATGGGCTATCCACACACAGATACCAGAGGGCAATGGAGAGGAATGAGCCTGAGCCATGTGCAGCCATGCAGATGGCATTGCACATAGTACAATACACCCTTAGGATCTCCTTTAATTAAAGTTTCAAAACAACTAGAACTGTGCAATCTGTTATTTACACAGATGCCTGTGCATGACCAAAGGATGGTGAAGTGAGGGAATGACCACCGAATCTGGAGGATGCCTCTGGTGGGGAGGCAGCGGCTGGGAGGGGGGTGCGGTCTGCAGGTCAGTTAGTGGACTCTTTCGGCTCTGCCCTGTGGGTTTGTGTGTGTTCATTATATTATTAATTTTTTTTTCAAAAGGAATGAATAAAAGACTGTTTGAAAGGACCCTGCATGGACCAATGCTCACAGTGCGTCATGAACGGAGGATGATGCTTTATGCAACACATTGCACCTAATGTCCAGACGAAAAACAAAAAAATCCATGACCCCCAAATTTGAAGTACAACATTTAGGAGCCAGCTCAGGGCCCCAGCCCTTCCCAGCTTCCCATGGGCACAGGCATGGTGCTCACCAGCCCCGCTGGTCTGCGATGACAGGGACTCTTCGCTCTTGGCAGATCTCAGTGTGACTGTGTCAGGCCGGTTGCCTGCCAGGAGAGGCAGAAGGGTCACGGGGCACTCCGGAGTGCCTCCCCCACCGCCATGCCCACTGCCTGGCCTCTGACCTGAAGGCTGTGTTGGAGAGCGGGTGCCCCCCAGCCAGGGCAGAGGCTTCTTTCGGGGGATGCTGGGGCCTCGACCCAGTGCAAAAAAGGTCTTCCAGCTGCTACCCCCAGGCTTTCGCTGCTTCTCACCTCTCCCCCCTTTCCTCCTGGGGTTTGGGTGAGACACAGGAGGCAGTTTGAGGAAAAGAGCCTTCAGGCGGGTCCTGGGCTACCCTGGCATCCCACTCACCTTCCCACAGGTGAAGCTGGGGCCTTGGGAGCTGTGGGCTCAGTGGGTGTACCCAGCCGGCCCTGGGTGCGAGCCTGGGCTTCCTCCAGCGTCAGCAGGCGAGTGGAGGGGCCGCTGCCCGCAAGGGACTTGGGCCTGGGGAGGAGGCAGCGGCCTGGGAAGTTGGGAAAGGGGGTAGCTGTCAGCTCCGGGGTCATTCAAGGCCAAAGGCAAAGCCAAGCGCTACAGCCCAAGCCGCAGCCCCGCAGCATGCCCACCCGGGCTGGCAAGGGAGGGGGCCAGGGCGGGAGGGTCAGGCAGGATGGGCAGGCGGCAGGCAAGTGAGGAGGAGGAGTGAGGCAGAACGAGCTGATGGGGAGGTAGCTCCCAGCAGCCAGCGAGGCCAGCGGCTCTGGCTTCAGTTACCTCGGGCCGAGGGCCCTCCGACGTGCTGGATCCTGATTGGGCTGGGGTCCGGGGCAGGGCGGGGAGTCTGGGTGGGGTCGGGGTGGGATCAAATCTGGGGACCTCCCACCTCCTCCCAGTTGGACCCATGGCCCCAAGCGCCCCTAGGAGCTACAAGGGGTGAAGGAAGAACGATGTCCGGGCCAAGAAGTGGGGATCCTGAGCGTAGGAGCTGAAATGAGAAGGGGGGGGAGGGGAGGGAGAGGCCGGGGCGGGGTCCTCAAGGAGCCAGGAGGGAGGTCCAGCTTCAGTCCGGCAGGGATAGGGTGTGAGCCCACTGCCCTCCCACAGCAGCCCTGACAATGAGGGGGTGATAGCCTGGACATCAGGCCATGGGATGGGCATACCTGCAGGGTCAAGGCCAGCAGAGGTGAAGGTGTCACTGAACAGGACATCCACGTGGGTGAGCAGGAATTCCACCACCACTGACTGCACCCGAACTTCTCGGAAGGCTGCTGCCCCACCCAGCCCCACTGACTCCAGCTCCATGGACCTGGATGGAGCGGGAGGAGGGAGGCCAGGTGCCATGAGCCCCGCTATTGGAGTCTGTCTAGGCCAGATGGGGAGCCAATGGAAGCAATGACTGTCATTCAACACCTCTAACTTGATCAAACTGATCGCATGTAGAGCT